AGGCTTCATCTGGGAGTGGTGAGGCCGATTGGGAGACGTGGCATGAGAGGCTGTGTCACATCAACATCCCTATGTTGCAGAAGTTAGTGAAGGATGGGAGCTTGAAGGGGCTGGAGGTGAAGGGGGCATCAAAGGAGATTGGGAGCTGCCCTACATGTCTTGAGACCAAGTTCACCAAGTTTCCCTTCAGCAGCAGCACAGATCCAGCCAAGGCTCCACTTGCTCTTGTGCATATGGATGTGGTGGGCCCCACTAGAGCCCCTTCTCTCTCGGGCAGCCGCTATTTCTTGACCATAGTGGACGACCACACACGTGCGGTGTGGGTGTACCCTCTCAAGACTAAGGGGGAGGTGGCAGCGGCTGTTCTTAAGGAGTGGATGCCGAGAGCTCAAAGGGAGAGCGGACACAAGGTGAAGGTGATCCGCACCGACAATGGGGGAGAGTTCATTGGAGCTGATTTTGAGGCGGTGCTGAGAAAGAAAGGGATCCAGCATCAGCTCACAGTGCCCTACAACCCGCAGCAGAACGGCGTAGCTGAGCGGTTCAACCGGACCCTGCAGGAAGGTGCTCGCACTCTCCTTGGGCGTGCGGGGCTGCCGGATCCGTTTTGGGTGACTGCACTGAGGCAGGTCGCCCTTGTGAAGAACAGGGTGCTGGCGACTGTGGGGGACAAGCAGTGGGTCCCCTACACCAAGTGGTATGGGAGTGCACCAGCGGTGAACATGCTGAGAGCTTACGGGTGCATGGTGGTGTTTCATGTGCCGAAGGAGAAGAGGGGAAAACTGGAAGCTTCTGGGAGATGGGGTGTGCACTTGGGACTTGCAAGAGATCACAAGGGCTGGTTGATATGGGACTTGACCAGCCAGCAGCTGACTGTGTCAAGGGATGTGAAGTTCCTTGAGTCCTTGTACTACAAGGAGTGGAAGCAGCAGCAGCAGAAGCTTCCCACTACACCGCTGATCATTGAGGCCGATGAGGTGCAGCGGCCTTCAAGGCAGGTGGAAGTCTCTGTGTCGGAGGAGGAAATCTCTGGGGTGACTGAGGATGGGGAAGAACCTGAGGTGGAGGAGCAACAGCAGCAGCAGCAGCAGCAGCAGCAGCGTGCTCCACCACGTGCCCCACACCCGCCTGACCGTCCTAGGAGGGATGTGCACCCTCCTACCAGGCTGACCTATCCGAGTCTTGGCACACCGAAAGTTGTACCGGCTGGGAGTGTGGCTGAGCAGTGTGATGAGGATGAGATAGCTTTTTGTTGTGGGGCTATATTGCGAGGGTGTGGAGCTTAATGCTATGAGACAAAGGCTGCAGAGGGGTGCTGCAGATTTGAGCAAAATGGAGATGTTGGAAGTGGGATGTTGAAAGGAGATGACTGTCCATTGGGATGAGTGTTGGAAGGGCATGAAACTTGCTGGGATGAGTGTGCATTGATTGTGCATGCATGACCTGAGACATGTGGGATGATGGTTGGCAGCCAGAGGGGGAGTTTGTTGTGTGATGCTATCATCCGCATTCACGTCTGTCTGCCTCCCATCATATGTTCGTGCGTTGCATGCGTGGTGTGAGCGTCCGCAAGAATTTGTGTTTGGTGTGGTTTGGATTTTTTTTTTTTTAGTGTGTGTGAATGTTATTTGGCCTGAGCAGATGTTTGAAGTGACTGCTCAGCTCAAGAGCTTTCCGACGAACCAAGAATCGTCGCAATCGGAGCACGAACGAGAAAGTTACGAACGGTTGAAGTTCGTATGCTCTTGAAATTCGGTTGTGGCGACTATGGGAAGTTGTGGGGTTGACTCCATAAGGGGTATAGGCCTTTTGGGGGTTGGGAAATTCGTCCCCATTACTGTAGATGTTTCCAAGTGGTTGGGAGAAGCCAAACCAGGTTGGCAAGTGTGGCCAAGTTGGGTGAGGTGGATGGCATGTGTTGGGAAAGTGACAAATGTCAAAGTTGAGGTGCCTATAAAGAAGGGAATTGTGTGGCATGGGGTTTCCTTGGTTGGGGACCCTCTTGGGACCTTCCCTCTCGTCCTCCTCTTCCCTCCCACCTGGTTTCTAGCTACTCTAATCTTCTTGTTGGAACTTGTGAGAACTATTGTGATTGAGTTAAGTTTCTATGGCAGCTTACCCCCTAGTGCGTCGAAATTCATAACTCGAGTTATACTCTATCTTTTGATGCGATTCAAATTGGGAATGATAGCCACGGTCAAGGGCTACAACATACTCGAGTTTGAGAGAATTCCAACGGTTAACTTTTCGTCGACGGCGTTTCTTGTGAAGTCGACATTTCTGTCCAGAGATTAGGTCCAACGATTTTGAGATATTTCGGCCCCTAAATGTTCTAGACTCCGTCCTTAGTCTCTAACAAAGTAGCGCAGTACCCTCTTCGCAGCATCCATGTGCACCTTTTGGTGCCGACCAGGAGCCACATAGCGAGCCAGAAGGCCAAGAGGGTACGCAAGGTCAGGACGAGTGCAGGTCATCAGGTACATGAGGCAGCCCACTAGCTCTGGGTAAGGACCACTCGGCTCTACGGACTCGTCCGAAGGTGGAGCTGAGAGCGAGTGACCTGTAGCCAGAGGAGTGGACTGTGGCGAGGACCAGGTGAAGCCGAAGCGCTGAAGGACCTGCTGCACCATGTGTGACTGAGTCAGAGTGATGGTGCGGCGTGCTCGGTCCCGGGTGATCTGCAAGCCAAGGTAACTGCGCAGCTCACCCAGGTCTGTGCACGTGTGTCTCTTTTGCAGCTCCGACTTCACCAGGGCGAGAGCCTCAGTGTCAGCAGTGGCAAAGACCAAGTCGTCGACGTACACGAGGATGTAGAACGGCGGCAGGGAAGTGTCGGTGCGCAGAAACAGCGACGGGTCAGCTGTCGAAGGAGCAAACCCAAGTGCCGCAAGCGTCGTCCTCAGTGTGTCGTGCCACTCACGCGGCGCCTGGCGGAGACCGTAGACTGGCCGCCAGAGGCTCCACTGGGTACCAGGAGGGAACGTCCCAGTGAAGCCAGGTGGGCGGCGCAGCCAGATCTCCTCATGCAGGCTGCCCTGTAAGAAAGCTGTGCTGAAGTCAAAAGAGTGAAGCTCGTAGTCACGCTGAGCGGCAATGTGCAGCAGCACCCGAAGAGTAGTCATCTTCGGGGTGGGGGAGAAGGTCTAGAAGAAGTCAACTCCCTCTCGCTGACTAAAGCCTTGTGCAACGTAACGAGCCTTGAAGACAGGCGGAGAACCCGGCGGCCGCTTCACCATGAAAATCCACATGCCATCGACGATGTTCGCCCTAGGAGGGGGAACCTCATCGACGTAAGTGCCTGTAGACTTCCAGGATGCCATCTCTGCGTCTATGGCTGTCTGCCACTGAGAGGAGTAGGGACCTGCGATCGCCTCAGCGTAAGAGCGCGGGGTAGGGATGTCTGGTGCATCCGGGTCTCCCTCAGGGGCAAGCAGCATGGCCACAAGATGAGGCGCAGCGGCCGCAAGACACTCAAGGTCCTCCTGCCTATCCTCAAGGACGTCCGTGCCAAGAGCACACACACCCCCGACGGACGGAGGACAGACAGACGCAGACTCAGCAACAAGACTAGCAGCGTAGTATAGACGACAGGCAGCAGCAAAGTCCACAAGCTCAGCGACCAAGGCAGACGCAGCAGCAGACTCAAACGACAGGTCAGTGACAACAGTGGCTAACAAACGCGTGACAGTAGGGTGCTCAGCACAAAACCGGTCAGACTCAGGGTCCGGAACGTCAGGCAGAGAGGACTCAGGAGGAGACGACATGGGAACATGCTTCGGAGCAGAGGACGGACGACGGACAACGAGGTGCGCGCCGGGGACAGCCGGCGAACGCGGACGAGCAACACGACGACTGGTACGACCAGAACGAACAGGCGAGACAGGACGCGACGCAGGCTCACGACGCTCAGCAAGACCCCCTGGCTGCTCGGTGTAAGGAGAAGGAGCAGGCAGCGGGGAGTCAGGCTGTAACGGAAGACCAGTAGAAGACGGGAGGCTAAGAACCTGGCGAAGCACAAAGTCAGGCGGTGGCGACGGAGACGGCGGAGCGAAGAACAGTCTCGGCTGCGCCGTGCCACCAGTACCAGCAGCTCCAGCGCCTCCAGCAGCTCCAGCACCTCCAGCGCCAGCTCCTCCAGGACCAGCTCCACCAACAGCAGCACCCCCAGAACCAGCACCTCCAGTCCCAGGGTCTCCAGCCGCAGCGTCTCCAGCAGCAGCACCCCCAGAACCGGTACCTCCAGTCCCAGGGTCTCCAGCCTCAGTGTCTCCAGTAGCAGAACCCCCAGACACAGCACCTCCGGGACCAGCAACTCCAGCACCTCCAGTAGACAAAGTACCAGCACCACTCCCAGCTCCAGTGGCGTCAGCAGAAGCACCTCCAGCGGCAGAGCCCCGAGCTCCAGCAGCGCGAACCTGACGGCGACCGTACTAGTCGTGCAGCTGCTGCGAATGAGAGGCACACGCGGACGAAGGCGGCCACTCCAAGGAGACCGCGCACCAGCAGTCTCAGTACCCTCAGGCAACGCACCCCCAGACTCAGCACCCCCAGGCTCCTCACGCACAGGCTCAGCACCCCCAGACTCAGCACTCCTAGGCTCCTCACGCTCAGGCTCGGCACCCCCAGGCTCCGCACCCCCAGGAACAGTGCCGGCTCCAGTGCCTCCAACACCAGCGCCTCCCGCAGCAGGGCCCCCAGCTCCAGCAGCTCGACCCTGACGGCTAACGTACCACTCACGCAGCTGCTGTGGGGAGAGAGGGAGACGACGACGAGAGGGCAGCGGCGAGGCTCCAGCGGAGTGGCTATGGAGACGGCCGCTCCAGGGAGACTGCTCACCAGACGCCTCAGCGCCCCCAGGTGCAGCACCCCCAGACGCAGTACCCCCAGGCTCAGCACCCCCACACTCCGCACCCCCAGGCTCTGCACCCCCAGGCTCAGCACCCCCAGAAGCAGCACCCCGAGCAGGACCACCCTCAGCAGGACCTGAGTCAGCAGTGACCTCAACCGGCGTAGTCAAGGGAGGAGGGTCTACCTGAGACACACCTGAAGGAGCAGGACCGGGAGCGGGGAGGGGGTCTACCTGGGGAGCACCTGGAGCGAGGAAGAGAGGCGGGGGGGGGGAGCGGGGCAGTGCGGTAGGGGAAGAGACGGTAAAAGGGAACCGACTCGTCGAACGTGACGTCCTGAGAGGGGAAGACACGGCGCGAGGTGGGGTGGTAAAACTGCCAACCAGGCGCGTCAGGGACAAAGCCAAGGAAGACGCAGGGAACAGCGCGGGCGGAGAGCTTGTCCGCGGTGGTATCGCGGACAAAGGCACGAGAACCCCAGACCCGGAACACCGACGCATCGCCAACCTCCCCCGTCCACAGCAGTGTGGGCGAGGTCTCCGGCAAGGAGACATGGGGCCAGAGGTTGAGCTGATGGGCGGCGTAGCGGACCGCAAACGACCACAGAAAATGGGGGGCAGCCGCATGGACCATGGAGGTACGAGCGACCTCCATGACCAAACCAATGCGGCGCTCAGCAACCCCATTCTGCTGCGGAGAGGCCGGAAGCGTGAACGTCTGGCGAATGCCCTCCCCACGACAAAAGCTCTGCAGAAGGTCGGAGGAGAACTCCCCACCTCTGTCAGAGTGCAGACGCAGGACGGGAAACTCCGTCCCGAACCGCTCGCGGAGCTGGAGACGGGCAGCGCGGATCCAAGGGATCAAGACATCAGGGACCTCACCCTTGGTGTGCAAGGGGAAGACCGTGGTGTAACGCGAGTAGTCGTCGACAACCAGCAGAAAGTACCGCTCGCGGCCCTGTCCAGTGACGCGGGCTGGGCCCCACACGTCCATGTGCAGGGTCTGCAGGGGAGCAGTCGTCGGGGGAAACGAGGAGGAGTGAGGAGCGGCGCGCTGCCGCCCCTCGACACAGGGAAGACAGGGAGGAGCAGGCGAGGGTGGGAGGGGAGGGAGAACCCTGGGAAGACCAGAGACAAGGACACGGCGGTGCATGCTACGAAGGCGCTGCACCGAGGGGTGACCAAGACGGTGGTGCCAAAGGAGGGTCTGGTGCGACAAAGCGCGACACGAGCAGGGGGCCGCTAGCTGACCTGACGCAGACGCAGACGCAGACGCAACGACCAGAGGGGACACAGTAGTCAGTGTGTACAGACTCGAGCCAGGCGCACGGGTAAACGTGGCCAGGTGCCGGCCCGTCCGGGAGCACGTACAGTGGGTCACGCGCTGACCTCCAGGAGTGAACTGGTCAACCCACTGGTCCTGGAGGTCAGCACCACTCACCAAGTTCGTAGAGAACGAGGGGAGGTGAAGACCTGACAGGGAGCCAGACGGGACCGCCGGACACGGCAGGACCGTGGAGGAGTGCGCAAGGACTGGACCCCCAGAGGGGTCTGCCAGGGAGACTGCAACCGGCCGACTGAGCGGCGTGAGGGTGGTGCTGTCGCGAAAGAAGGAGCGGGAAGCACCTGAGTCAAGCGTGAAGGTGTACAAGGCCTCAGCAGGCGCAGTACCAGAGAGAGCAGACTCACCAGCACCTGGAGCAGCAGCCTCACCAGCACCTAGAGCAAGAGACGCACTAGCACCTAGAGAAACAGGCTCTATATCTGGGTCAGTCGGTACGCACAGGTAACACGTACCGTCAGCACTAGTAGGCAACGCATACATGGCAGTGAGAATAGCATCATAGTCAAGAGCAAAGATATCTACCCTCTGCCTAAGCAGCTCCAGCCAGGTGGGGAGCTCAGCCGCGTCGCCAAACTCGGTACGCCAGGCGTCGCTCAGACGGGCGAAGCAGCGGGACTGTGTGTGACCAAGTGTCCCGCAAGCCTGACCAGCCCGAGCACCTGTGCGAATGACGTACGGGCAGCGAACGGTACTCCGAGACCCTCTACTCTGAGCGTACCACTCATGAAGCTGCTGGGGCGTAAGTGTCTCACGCGGATGCCGCTGCAGCTGCAGCTGGCCACTGCCAGACGCTCCCGACTGACCAGCTCCAAGGCGACAGCCACGACGGCTACTGCCACAACCCCAACCAGCGTAATACTCACTAAGCTGCTGGGGCGTGAGAGACTCGCGCGGACGTCGCTGGAGCTGCATCTGGACTCCGCCAGTAGCAGCAGTAGCAGTAGTAGCAGCAGTAGCAGCAGCAGCAGCCTAGCAGCAGTAACAGAGGTAGCAGCAGTAGCAGCAGTAGCAGCAGTAGCAGCGCGGGCAGGGTAGGCACGGCAGGCAGGCAGCAGACAGGCAGGCAGATGGCGCGGCAGCGCGCTAACAAGGCAGGCGCGCGGGAAGCGCGGTAGGGCAGGTGCTCACCAGTGGCGGGAAGAGCAGGCGCTCGCCGAGTTAGCAGGGCCGGCGCTCGGCTGGCAGCGGCAGGGTAGGCGCACGACGGCGGCGACGGCGGGGCCGCAAAAGCGGCTGCAGAGTAGGGCCGCGTCAGCTGCAGGGCTGGGGCCACGACAGCGGCAGGGCAGGGCCACGGCAGCTGCTGCAGGGCGGGGCCGTGTCGGCGGCAGGGGGGGGCCGCGTCGAATGCTGCAGGGCTCTGGGGCGGCACACGGCAAGGGCAGGGGCCGTGCGCGGGCTCTGGGGCGGCGCGACGGGTAGGCAGGGGCCGCGCGCAGGCTCTGTGGCGGCGCGACGGGTAGGCAGGGGCCGTGCGCGGGCTCTGGGGTGGCGCGACAGGCAAGCAGGGGCAGCGCGCAGACTCTGGGGCGGCGCGACGAGCAGGCAGGGGCTGCACGCGGGCTCTGAGGCGGCGTGACGGGCAGGCAGGGGCCACGCGCAGGCTCTGGGGCAGCGCGACGAGAAGGCAGGGGCCGCGCGCAGGCTCTGGGGCGGCGCGACGGGCAGGCAGGGGCCGCGCGCAGGCTCTGGGGCAGCGCGACGGGAAGGCAGGGGCCGCGCGCAGGCTCTGGGGCGGCGCGACGGGCAGGCACGGGCCGCACGCAGGCTCTGGGGTGGCGCGACAGGAAGGCAGAGGCAGGGCACGGGCTCTAGGGCGGCGCGACGGGCTCTAGGGCGGCGTGACGGGCAGGCAGGGGCCGCGCGCAGGCTCTGGGGCGGCGCGACGGGCAGGCAGGGGCAGGGCACGGGCTCTAGGGCGGCGCGACGGGCTCTAGGGCGGCATGGGGCCAGCAAGGGCTGCGCGCAGGCTCTGGGGCGGCGCGACGGGCAGGCAGGGGCCGTGCGCAGGCTCTAGGGCAGCGCGACGGGCAGGCAAGGGCCGCGCACGGGCTCTAGGGCCTCTCACGGCAAAGCAAGGCAAGGCAGAACAGGGCGTGGGGCAGCACGGTAACCGCAGACGGTCACTAGCGAAGGGTGGGCCCGAAAAAAAAAACAGTCCTACAGACCTACTTCTCTCAAACCATGTTAGAATCTAGAAGCAGGAATGAATGCATTGAATGAGAGTTGGGTACAAGTATCTAACCCTAAAGGGGTTGTACCCCATATTGGCTACCCCACTACAGCCTACACAAGTATAGCATGCATATAGTTTGACAGGGTGGGCTTATAATCGAGTAAATTTATAAGCGCCGGCGTTTATAAAATGACATATATTTTTTTTAATGTTTTTTTAACACCAAACTGTAGATCTCGTGCTTGCCTTTTCAATCGAGTCAAAGTTACATGGGGTCGTCTGCAAAATTCTCGCGCGCGCTGGGATGCTAGTGAATCTGACTCACATCCAGCTCCTGACAGCTCCTGCTGACTGGACCCGCATCCAGTGCAGGGTCCGAATGTGAAGGGAACCGAATCTGCAACACATCCGCCTGCTAAAGTAAAAATCGTTACAGCGTTTTGAACACATTTCAAAATTTAAAGTTTAATAAAACATTTTTTTTTCAGGGGGTGCGCTTATAATCGAGCAGCGGATATAAGCGCCACACGCCAATTAAAAGTGCCAAGCGCTTATCCGAGGGTGGCGCTTATATCCGGGGTATGACGGTATTTTGTATCTGACGCGGTTAGTGTGTCAGAACTCGAGTCTGACACAAATGACGTGTCAGAATTCGGATTATGTGCCTCTAAAAGCTGACGCGCATATTCATTTTCAACAGCTGTAAACAGAAAAGGGGGGTCTTAAAATGATTATAGGCACAGGGGGGGGTCCTCTCAGATTTCATACACATTAAGAGTCCCAGACCCGAACATAAGTCCCGGGGGTCTTTTTTTCGGGAGGGTTCTATATCCGGGAGAATACGGTACATCGTTCTCATCCTATATATTAGTACATAAGAGCATCACAATTGGGTGGGCGGGGGGGAAATTGAAACTACAATTAGAAATGAAAAACGTGGGTGAGTGCGAATGACCTCACGACCCTCTTTTGTAGGCAAAAGAGGGTGAGTAGCGCTTCGGCGACACCTTTGCTGTGTTGGCCACGTACCATCATCACCCGGATATAAAACATATATGTCTTATCTCGTACACAGGAAAAAATGCTTGGGTTATCTTGTATTTGGAACGATTTAGAGTGTCTAATAAGTCTTTAAATGGAAAGTTTTTAAACTACTTAGACATATTTCCACACATCACATAAAGGGTGTGGATGTTGCGAAGGTGCCACTTTGGCAACCAATGACCGGGACGCCACGTCATGAAGAATACTTGCAGAGGCAAATTTGGCAGTACCTGAGTCAGCACGTGGCAGAATTCGCGTTTCGCATGGGTAAAAATGTACGCGGTATTTCAACTTTCACTATAATATATTACAGTTTCGATTATAAGACATATATGTTTTATCTCGTACACACAAATACCTTATTCTCCCGGATATAAGACCCGGGGGACTTTCCTAAAATAGAGGCAAAATGACTAGGGTGAACATTTAATTGACACGAGTTGTAAGAGTCCCGGGTACACTTAATAATCAAGTATATTTATGTGATTTAGGGGTGTACACTTGAATTTGGAGGGGGGGGGGGGGGGGGGGAGGTCTTATGTTCAAAGCAAAAAAACACCCCGCGTGCGCGAAATTCGCGCGCGCAGCTCGTCAATCTGACGCGGTTAGCGTGTCAGAACTCGAGTCTAACACAAATGACGTGTCAGAACTCGAATTCTGTGCCTCTAAAAGCTGACGCGCATATTCATTTTCAACAGCTGTAAACAAAAAAGGGGGCTATAAAATGATTATAGGCACAGGGGGGGTCCTCTCATATTTCATACATATTAAGAGTCCCAGACCTGCACATAAGTCTCGGGGTCTTTTTTTTGGGAAGGTCCTATATCCGGGAGAACACGGGTAGGTGTCTTATAATGAGGCTAGCCTGTTTATAAGAGACACCCGGATAATAGACAACCCCTGTCTACTATTCAACACTGTCTACTATCCGGGCGCATACGGTACCCCCTTTCACAATACAAAATTTGAGAAAGTGTTACACTTTCAAAAATTATAATATTGTGAAAGTTGTGCTGCACGCGCATGCCCTGCCCTACGCCCCTGCTGCCCGTCGCGCCGCGCGCCCCTGCTTCCCGTCGCATCGCGCCGCCCGTGCGCCCCTGCTGCCTGTTGCGTTACCCTTGCAGGTTGCCCCAGCCCGTCGCGTCGCCAGTCCGCCCTGCCCCTGCCCGTCGCGTCGCCCGTGCGGGCTGCCCTAGCCCGCCGCGTTGCCCATACACTCTGCCCCTGCCCGTCGCGTCGCCCGTGCGGGCTGCCCCAGCCCGTCGCGTTGCCCGTCCGCCTTGCCTTTGCCCGTCACGTCGTCCGTGCGAGCTGCCCCAGCCCGCCGCGTCGCCCGTACGCTCTGCCCCTGCCCGTCGCGTTGCCCTGTTGGCCGCGCGCCGCCCTTGCTCTGCCTGCGCGCCGCCCTTCTGGCCGCGCGCTGCTTTTCCCGGCCCGTTGCACCGCCCTTCAGGCCGCGCGCCGCCCCGCCCTGCCCGCGCGCAGTCCTGCAGCCTGCCGCGTCGTCCTGCCCTGCCCGTGCGCCGCCCTGCTGGCCGCCGCGCTTCCCTGCCCTGCCCTGCGCGCTTCCCTAGTGCACGCGCGC